CTTCCGTTAGCAAAATATTGACTATTTAGGTGGGAAAATTAAGACTTTTTTTTTTGTGGTTTGGCTGTTTGGGAGATTATCTTCCAATATAATGCAGAATTATACTTCTATCTGAAAAACTGCTCAAGCCAACAGAAATAAACATAAAATAAATGAAGACCTGTCTAGAAGCCTTTGATGATCTGATATTTGTTCATCATCAGATGGTATTTTTTCATTGGTTTTAGGAATATGCTGCAAATATGAACAAGACAAGTAAGTGCATGAATTGTTACTTAAAGATTCTAAACTATATTATATATATTTCTTATTATTATATTAATCCTGTTTAATTATCACATTTTTTATTATTATATTATTTCTATCTTTTATTTTATTTATTTTTTAAAACAAAATATATAAAGACACGAATTGCCTCTTTTCTCCTAGTATATATTTATATACATATTATAGTTATATATTTGTTTGTATTATATAGTATAACACACACACACACATATATATATGTGCATGTGTATCAATATTTTTCAAAAATTTAAAAATTTTAAATATTATAGAGTACCTTATAGAGTAATTGTACTATAAAGTATAATATATTAATATATGATTGTTAATGATAATAAAACAGCAAAAAAACAACTCCCCAATTGTAGGACTGCACGGGATGGAGAGTGGCCCCAATATGAGGTGCAGGATAAACACCCCTTCTCATCCAATTAACTAAAAAACTGTAGCCTCTTTCTAGTTTCTCACATCCATTGTCACCCCTTCTCACCCAGGAAAAAGAAAACCTAGCCTCTTTCTCCCAACAGCCACCACCTCCTCTTCACCAAACCATTTTGCCTCACTGGGAGTTGTAGAACAGAAGCCTGACTGGCAAAGGTGCAGGGCATATAGCCTGTCCGGCAACTGTGCAAATGGAGGAACAGTCGTGAGCCACAAATTGCCGCAATTTTCCACAATTTGCATTGTGACAGCAAAGTGCTCCACAATGAGTGCCTCAGGAGTGGCAGGGGGCACTCTGCTCTGCCACCTTGTGATTGTGGCGCAATTGCACACAATTGATTACTCTGGTCTTGTGTATATAACTAGCAATTATAAACCTCCAGCCTCCAGTTTTATATTACAGAGTATAGTGTAGCACATAATTAATCTACATTGAATTATGTTTCTCATGATCTGGGCAGTAACTAGTATCAATCCAGTTCCTACATTTCCATCAACAAATAAAAAATATTTTTCCTGCAAGTCTTATGATTTAAAATAAAGGTTATCATTTAAATTTTACACACACAAATTTTTTCCATGAAATTTACCATTAATCATCCAAAAGAAGAGGCAAATCAAAGGGTGACTAATACAATTAGAAATTAAATTAAGGTAAAAGATGAAACATGATGAGTTGAAGATTAAAACAAAATCAAGTGGCTGCACTAAAGCTACACTTACAGGAATGGGAACCATCCGGTTTAATCTTTTGCCAACTTCACCATCAAGAGAAGATTCATCCGATATTTCCAGTGAATCCCAGAAGTCATCATTAGTATCAGGTACCTCTACTTGCCCAGAAGACGAACCAAAAACATCATTTTCATGTACAACATCTCCCCTTTCACTTGAAACATAATTCTCCTCTTCTTTCATATTATGGGACTCGTCCACAGAGTTCTGGCAAGACTCATCTATATGTTGACAGTGTATCATGACAAGTATAAAACATCCATTACGTAAAATGTGACAAAATATAAAATATAATGGATAAAACTAATAGATAACTGCAACTCCTTACCAAAGTTATAGTTTCCATTTGAAGAATGAGACCAATCTTGCGTATAAACAGATCCCTGCATTCCCTCATTCTCAAAATTGGATATCCCAGAAGCTCCCATAGAATCAAGTCGAGACAATTCTTCTTGATAAGCTCGTGCAACAGCCTCATCATTATCCACATACTCATGCTGACAGAAGCCTTCTCTAACATATTCAACTTGGCTTAAATCTGGATCATATTGAGTTACAATACTTGGCGAACCACGATGGGAAAGTGTACAAACATCTAGGAGATGAAGACCCCAGCGAAGAACGTCAGGATCCATGTCACGTGTTTCCATGTGTCTGCAAAACACATGTAACTCTAACTACTACAGAAACCAACTTGCTTTACGTGTATGCCCTCAAAGAGTTCAATTGCTGAAAATGGACAAAAACTAATTGTGAAACTATGTAGGATGATGCAATGCTTTCACATGTGCGTGTGCCAGAACATAGTGTGATATAAACAATAAGTTATATACAAGGAATTATATATATATATATATATAAAAAAGAAAAGGTGAAATGATTGGATGATACTATTCATCATGTAACTATTGAAGCATCACACCATAAACATAAAGGCATCAATCATCAAATTCAACATAAAAATCTTAGATCAGAAGCTTCACACCAACCCAGTTGTCCGCATACTCAAGAAAAATACTCAATAGAACCCATAAACCAACAAGAGAAAAAAATGGTTTATCATCCACCAATAGGCCCATTATAATGCTAGTTCAACGATCAACATGAAATCACAAAGACAAAAAATTGAAAATTTTGCCTCCATGAACATAAAAAGAACCCTTGATTTCCATTTCCAATGCATCATAGTAGCAACATGCAAACCAACAATCATTAAATAAAAAACCCTAAACCCATATAGAGATACAAGAATCCCCGATCACCGAAAAAGAAATAAAGAAAGAAAATGAATTAAAAATGAAAATTGGAAGAAAGAGAAGAAAGAAAGACAAACCTTTAGGTAAAGAAAGGAAATGGATGAGAAAGCAAAGAAAGAGGATAGGGAATAGAGAGGGTGAAGAGAAGAGGTTTGTTGAATGCTGAAGAAAACAAGACAGTGAAATCCAGAATCAATATCAGACTAACCAAACCAAACAACTAAACCTCCTCTAATTTTTACCTTCCAAGGTGTCAAACTATTTATATTCAAATTATTTTTATTTTTATTTGCTGGATCACTTTCTACTGTCAATTAATTACATTATATTTTTATATAAATTTTAAATAAATCATATTTTTATTTGTATATCGTACACTATAAACATAAATATTTGTTTTTATGTAATTAAATTTCATAATTAGTATTCTATTTTTTAGCATGTGATATTTATAGGATAAATTTTATTTTACATAACTAAATTTTACAATAAATAAATATTTTTGAATATTTAAATCATATTATAATTTCAATTCAAAATAAATAGATATTTTATATTATAATAAAAAATTTCTATTATGATACAAACTATTTTTTAATTATTAATAACTTATTTTATAAAACATATTGAATTTCAATAAATAAATAAATAAATAAATAAGATAAAAATATATTAAAAAAATAAGAAGTTAAAAAAATTGTAGTGCTTCTTGGTAGAAAAAAAACTTAAAGAATATATCTTAAAAAAACATTTTTATTCAATACAAATTTTTTAATTTTATATTCAATAAATTTTAAGGTTTAGTGCTTCTGGACACTATATTTCAAGATTTTCCATGAAATGAAGCAAAGAACATCCATCCACAAAAAACATCCAAGCAAGGTCATTGTCGTCATACTTCCCTTCCAGTATCACGTCATCAGCAAACTCTTTCTTCAATTCTTCCATGTTATCTTCTATTCTTTTAAGCAAAACTTGTGTCACTTCATTCGAATCTTGATTTTCATTGTATTTTGCAACAAACTTTGATGTCCATAGAAGTTCATAATGCTCTCCTTCCTTTAAAATGTCACTACCATGATGGATGGGACCAAATGATATCATCTTTAGTGTACAATACTTCACAAACCTGTCATTACGTCGTAACAAAAGAGATACCCTTTAGATCTTGGGAGTTGAAATTCTATTCTTGTCAAATTTTTGTTAAGCCTTTTTTAGTTGGGCAAGCTTCCCATCTAATTTCCTGCTCATCATTGAAGAGTTGGCTGGTCTCCAAAATTTTTGCTAAGATTCCTTGTGTATTTTCCAGAACTATCTAATACAAATACAAATGGTATAAATTAGAGGCACAACATAAAAATCAAATAAAAGGGAAAATACTCACCATTAGTCTTACCTTCTCTTTTTCCTTTCTTTGAGTTTTTTACTCAAATAATACTATTTAAAAAAAATTACCCAAATAGCAACTGTGCAAAACTGTTCACGTTTCGGGCCGTACGGGACGTTCCGAAACGTGAACAGTTTTGCACAGTTGCTATTTGGGTAATTTTTTTTAAATAGTATTATTTGAGTAAAAAACTCAAAGAAAGGAAAAAGAGAAGGTAAGACTAATGGTGAGTATTTTCCCTTTTATTTGATTTTTATGTTGTGCCTCTAATTTATAACATTTGTATTTGTATTAGATAGTTCTGGAAAAAACACAAGGAATCTTAGCAAAAATTTTGGAGACCAGCCAACTCTTCAATGATGAGCAGGAAATTAGATGGGAAGCTTGCCCAACTAAAAAAGGCTGAACAAAAATTTGACAAGAACAGAATTTCAACTCCCAAGATCCAAAGGGTACCTCTTTTGTTGCGACGTAATGACAGGTTTGTGAAGTATTGTACACCAAAGATGATTATCATTTGGTCTCATCCATCATGGTAGTGAAATTCTAAAGGAAGGAGAGAATTATGAACTTCTATAGACATCAAAGTTTGTTGCAAAATACAATGAAAATCAAGATTCGGATGAAGTGACACATGTTTTGCTTAAAAGAATAGAAGATAACATGAAAGAATTAAAGAAAGAGTTGGCTGATGACGTGATATTGGAAGGGAAGTATGATGACAATGACCTTGCTTGGATGTTGTTTGTGGATGGATTTTCTTTGCTTCATTTCATGGAAAATCTTGATATACAGTGTCCAGAAGCACTAAACCTTATGCTTCATTTAAAGTCTATTCATTTGCAATAGATGAAATGAAATGAAATTAAACATAAGGTTTAGTGCTTCTAGACACTGTATATCAAGATTTTCCATGAAATGAAGCAAAGAACATCCATCCACAAACAACATCCAAGCAAGGTCATTGTCGTCATACTTCCCTTCCAATATCACGTCATCGACAAACTCTTTCTTCAATTCTTCCATGTTATCTTCTATTCTTTTAAGCAAAACTTGTGTCACTTCATTCGAATCTTGATTTTCATTATATTTTGCAACAAACCTTGATGTCCATAGAAGTTCATAATTCTCTCCTTCCTTTAGAATTTCACTACCATGATGGATGAGACCAAATGATATCATCTTTGGTGTACAATACTTCACAAACCTGTCATTACGTCGCATCAAAAGAGGTACCCTTTGGATCTTGAGGGTTGAAATTTTGTTCTTGTCAAATCTTTGTTCAACCTTTTTTAGTTGGGCAAGCTTCCCATCTAATTTCCTGCTCATCATTGAAGAGTTGGTTGGTCTCCAAAATTTTTTGCTAAGATTTCTTGTGTTTTTTCCAGAACTATCTAATACAAATACAAATGTTATAAATTAGAGGCACAACATAAAAATCAAATAAAAGGGAAAATACTCACTGTTAGTCTTACCTTCTCTTTTTTCATTTCTTTGAGTTTTTTACTCAAATAATACTATTTAAAAAATTTTTACCCAAATAGCAACTGTGCAAAACTATTCACGTTTCGGAACGGGCCGTTCTGAAATCAGAACGGGCCGTTCCGGATTAAAAAATAACACATGGAAAACAAATCAGAACGGACCGTTCCAAAATTAAAATTAGCAAATAAAAAGTGGAACCAGAACGGCCCATTCTGAAAGCAGAATGGGACATTTCGAAACGTGAACAGTTTTGCACAGTTGCTATTTGGGTATTTTTTTTTAAATAGTATTATTTGAGTAAAAAACTCAAAGAAAGGAAAAAGAGAAGGTAAGACTAATAGTGAGTATTTTCCCTTTTATTTGATTTTTATGTTGTACTTCTAATTTATAACATTTGTAGTTGTATTAGATAGTTTTGGAAAAAACATAAGGAATCTTAGCAAAAATTTTGGAGACCAGCCAACTCTTCAATGATGAGCAGGAAATTAGATGAGAAGCTTGCCCAACTAAAAAAGGCTGAACAAAGATTTAACAAGAACAAAATTTCAACTGTCAAGATCTAAAGGGTACCTCTTTTGTTGCGACGTAATAACAGGTTTGTGAAGTATTGTACACCAAAGATGATATCATTTGGTCCCATCCATCATGGTAGTGAAATTCTAAAGGAAGGAAAGCATTATAAACTTTTATAAACATCAAAGTTTATTGCAAAATATAATGAAAATCAAGATTCGAATGAAATGACACAAATTTTGCTTAAAAGAATAAAAGACAACATGAAAGAATTAAAGAAAGAGTTAGCTAGTAACTTGATATTGGAAGGAAAATATGATGACAATGACCTTGCTTAGATGTTGTTTGTGGATAGATATTTTTTACTTCATTTCATGGAAAATCTTGATATGTCCAGAAGCACTAAATTTGAGTAAAAAACTCGAAATAGAAACGGCGCCGCTATGTACAGTAAGCTGTCTTTTCCTGAAATTCCATTTCTACAGTTTGACGTCATATCTTATCTTTTTGCCGTTGCTGCCACTATTTAATATTTATTCATCAATTTTTACGAGAACCTATGTTATTACCCTTTAAGGTTTTTTCTTTTTAATATAATAATTGTTCCTTTTTAATAAGTATTAGTAGTTATTATTTTTTGCATGCTTAAAATTAACCCATCATGAAAGCTGTTCTTAGCAAAATTGATTAACAATTTTTTTTATGTTATGACGTGACATGTTAATTAATAAATACGTCAAAGAGATGTACGTTTACATTCATCGACGAGGTTTAGTATATTATTAAAACAAAAATGGGTACGTGATTATTTCACTTTTATTTGTTGTAATTAGTTTGCTTTACTTTTCCTCAGCATCAAAGAAAAAAACACAATCATTAGGATTTTACTTTTAAGTATGCATGCCTATAAAAAAAAAATCTTATTTTTTAGTGATACGTATAAAAAATTCTTAAAAAAAATATACTTTAATACTATAATTCCTTTTTTTTTCTTTTTTTTTTATACAACAAATACTGTAATTCTTATGTCTCTATACATTTTTAGATGATATCCTTAATGTTGGTGGGCAAAAATTTCATAAACACCGATTAATTTTTAATTATTAATTTTGAGATACTTTGTGAATTATATTTATAAAAAAATATTTTAAATGTGAACAAAAATATGTATGTCTAATTGTTTAAAGATTAAAATTTATTTTTTAAATGTTTTAAAATAGTTTTTGTTATACTAATTAGTACTTTTATTACGCTATATAACAATTTATCGTGTTCATACACAGTCACAATCTTGTGTAAGCTCATTGATATAATTCCTTTGTATCTTACTTTTTTATTTTTTTGGTCTATTTTAATATATCAAAATGAATGGTATAGTTACTATGTCAAGAAAGAGTAAAATGTGACCCGTGGAAGAGTGGAAACATCAAAATTACATTTGTATTTACTAGTAGTAGTATCACACCTTGATCTTGGAATTACAATACGTAACTCATGCTAATTGGACTACAAATATCTTAATCTAAAATATATATTTTTTAATTATATGATAGTGAAGTTTAAACTTATCACTTTGCAGATACTAAATTATAGACTCTGAATTTGAATTTGAATATGAATATGATTGTGTCTTTTGAAAAAAATATCTACAATTACAAAATAAACAACTCATAAAAGTTTCCCAACCCCCTAATTACTAGCATGAAAATTATGCAATGCTTTAATTTGACGCGAAGTTTTCAAATTACAAGCATGCAGCATTTTTAAATTGACATTAATATTGTTGTCAGCCTGCAGTGTTTTAATTGTATCAATATTTAGTCGTAAATAACAAGTATTGTATATAAT